ACTTCTGATTCCATATGAATTTGTTTGTTTTCTCTAAATCTGTGAGGAATGCTGTTGGTATTCCTACTGGGATTGTGTTAAATCTCCATATCAGTTTTAAAAATATAGCCATTTTGACTGTATTGATTCTGCCTATCCAGGAATATGCGATATCTTTCCATTTTCTGATGTCTTTTTCAATCTCCTTTTTCAGAGTGATTTAATTTTTGTTTTAGAGGTCTTTCACTTTGTTAGTTAGGTTAATTCCTAAGTAATTTTTCTTCATGATACTGAGCATGCCAATGCTTTCTTAATTTCTTTCTCAGTGAGTTCATTATTAGTTTACAAGAATGCTATTGATTTTTGTATGTTGATTTTGTATCTTGCTATATTGCAGAATTGGGTTACTAATTCTAGGAGTCTTTTAGTGGAGTTTTTTGGGTCTTGTAAGTAGAGGAGCATATCATCTGCAAATAATGATACCTTGACTTCTTCCTTTCTTATGCATGTCCCTTTTATTTCTTTCTCTTCCTGATTGCTCTGGCTAAATTTTCTAGTACTATACTGAACAGGAGTGATGATAGTGGACATCCTTGACTTGTTTCTGATTTTAGAGGGAAAGTTTTCCTTTTTTCCCCATTTAATATGGTGTTGGCAGCTGGTTTGTCTTAAATGGCTTTTATCAGATTGAGATAAGGTCCTTTTATACCTATTTTCTGCATGGTTTTAATTGTGAATGGATGTGGGATTTTATCAAAGGCTTTTTCTGTGTCTATTGAGATGATCATATGATCTTTGTCCTTGCTTCTGTTTACGTGATGAATTCCAATTATTGATTTGAATATGATGAACCATCCTTGCATCTCTGGGATGAAGCCTAGTTGGTCATGGTATATGATCTTTTTGATGATTTGTTGCATTCTGTTTGCCAGTATCTTTTTGAGGATTATTACATATGTATCATTAGAGAAATTGGACTATAGTTCTCTTTTTGGTTGGATCCTTGTCTGGTTTTGGAATCAGGGTAATGTTAGTTTTCAGGAATGACTTTGGAAGTATTGCTTCCCTTTAAATTTCATTAAGAGTTTGAGAAGTAATGGCATTAGATCTTCTCTAGAGATCTTGTGGAATTCAGCAATGAATCCATCAGGTCTAGACTTTTCTTAGTTGGCAGGTTTTTTATTACTGCTTCAATTCCATTGTCTGTTATTGGATTGAGTTTGTTAAGTCACATGAATTTCAAAAAACCTTATTTTTGTATTCTGAAAATAGTGCTATAAAATCCAATAATTTTCCTAGCTTCTTGGATCTTCTACCATCTTAGATAATTAAATTTAAGCATAGTTGCCTGCAAATTCTTTCCTAGAGGAAATAAAAGCAAAGCACATTTTAATTATGTTTAATTATATACTTTACCAATGAATGTGCTACTCTAGGCATTTATTGTGCTACTATAACATAACATGAAACATGCTATAACAAGACATGAAACATACTATAACAGAATGTAAAAAAAATTGAAAGTTCAAAATTTGACAAATGTCTTAATTTTTTTGGTAGAGGGCTCTTATAATAAAAACAAAATCTAAAAATCAGATGGCCACTTTTATAATGTGAATTAGGAACTTAACTTTGTAAAAGACATTTAAGGAAAGTTACATGAATTGTAATATTTTTCTTATTCACTTATTCGCGTTCTTATTCATTTATATTTTCTTATTCACTTTGGTTTTTTTTCACTTTGGCTTTTAAATGAAGGTTTGTATTAAAATAACCTCAAAGGTAACTCATAAGTCACGTAAAGCATCATTTGTCACTGCTCTGTAACAGAAATATATTTTATAACTATTTGTGACTTGAATGTTTTTGAATGATGTGACATTTTTATTAAAGCTCTTGGCCATGTTTTTGGCTATTAAATTTCTTTAAATTATAAACTGGGTCGCTGAGGGAGAGAACTTAGCTGGGATAAACTTCTTTGATAACCTTAGAGGACAGTGAGGTTCAGATAGAGATAATTTTCTGAATATGGTTGACCTTTAACAGAACTGTTTATTTTCTTACCCAAACAGCTATGCAGCATGCTGCCAGGGCTCCACTTCAAGTTTTGCCAGAAACACAAGCAGATAAAAGTGAAAGTAGACGTTTCTATTTAACTAAATAAATGTTTATAAAATCTTATGGAAAACTAATATATAGAGAGAAATTGCCTTATTATTTGATCTGTCAGCCAAAAAGTAACGAATTCTCTGTAAAAAGAGGAAACTCAGCCAGAAAATGTCTGCTGTTTAAATTGTCAAACTTGAGGTGACAGCAAGACATTAAAACAATTATATATTCAAGAAGATGCTCAAAATGAAAGCTGTGTTTCAAAATTTTGTGTTCATAGCAAATAACTAAAATCTTGCCACTGTAAAACTCCCCATGGCTTTTGGCACTAACATTGAAAGAAAGATTTTAGTCTTTTGGTCACTTGGAGCTGCAGCTAAATGAAACTCCCCATAAATGCGTTGAGCCTCAGGCTACAGCCTTCACCTAGGGCCACGCCCTCGGATGGACAGCAATGGACAGCTCATGGGTGGAGGTGGCCTAGGAGTATGTGCCCTCTTAGACCTAGTGCCTCAGTATCCCCTTGCCTCCCCAGCTCTCCCATGTAATGGTTCTTTACTGGCTGAACGATAGGGGCTGTCCTCCCCTACGCCTCAGCTATGCTGCCCAGGTCACTGGGTATTGACAAGGGCTGGCCCTCCTGCAACACTGGCTTCTCTCTTGGCCACCTAAAACTCGGGGTGGAGAGCATCCAGTTAGGTCTGGGCTTCTGAGGCCAGGTATGACTGAGGCAGATAGAGCCTGGACTAAAGTTACAGTAAGGCCAAGACAAAGCCCACCACTGAGTGACAGTCAGCATGGTGATACTGAGGAAGTGAGCACCAAGTGCCCTGAGACTCAGGGAATCAGGTGCTTCCACCCCTCATTGAGAGAGGTGCTGAATGCACAGGTGGAGTGAGGGTGAGGTAAGGTCACATCTGTCTCCCTGAGGTGACGGATGGACCTTAGCCTCTGCTTCTTGCCACGGGGCATTAAATGGCCGCATACACACCTGACCAGGCCGTGGTGGTGAGCCCTGTCAAGAAGGCAAGAATTGGTAGAGGAGGGCACCCTGTGGACCAGGTTCTTCACAGTCCAGAGACAGGAGCCTTCACAGTGTGGGTCAGAAAGTACCCTCCATCCTCCAGCCTAGGCCACCTGTTTGCTTTTATCCTTGACTGGGACCTCCAGGTGGCAGACCTCAGCTCACCAAGTGGCTCAAAAAAAAGCAACAACACTGGGGACATATATATGTATATCACAGCTCAGGAGCAAGTGGGAACCGCACATGGCGCCGCCTTTTGGTCAAGTTTCGCAGGCACATGTAAGCGGCATATTCCTCTGGCTTTGGGATTAGGAACAAGCAGCTTCATGTCCTGCCCTGGCAAAGAGTGAGAAGAGCTGGGGCAACAGGACCCTGTGGTCCCTGGGGTGACCACACAGTGAAGAGAGACACACAATGAGGCACTCTATGTTCCTAGGGTTGGTAAGAAGGTGCAGCCAAACTGGAGGGATCCAGTCAAACCCTGAAGCCAAGGGAGGGGCCAAGAATCAGTGATACCCGTCCCTGTCCCTGGAGAACACACAAGGGTCTTAGCCGGCTCCCTGTCAGGCCAGTGTCCCTCGGTTTGCTTCCCATGCACAGGCTAGGTCTCCCACAAGAGAACTCAGTGGGGAGGAGCAACCACCAGTGCTGTGGGATCTCCAGGCACTTGGCCACCTTCATCCCTTCGGAACCCAGCTTTTAAGCCATTCAGAGATGTCTCCCACATCCCTCACATGCCTTCCTGTTTCCCACTGCTTTACTCCTAGGCCCCATGTGGGAGGGGTCCTTCCCAGAGGGTTTCAGGAGAGACCAGGGGCTCTGCAGTGAAGTGAAGCTGCCTTGCAAAGGACCATGGAAAGAAACCCCGAGGGTTGCTTCTCTGGTAGCCCCGAGGGACAGTTTGAGTCAGTCAGGGCAGGGCTGGCCAGGTGTGAGCCTGGAGCACATTTGTAGGTGGCCCACAGTCCCTGGATCTCCAGCAGAGGGTGGCCAGGTGCCTGAGCTAAGGTAAAGAGAAGCTTCCTAAGGAGCAGCAGCTCCACTCCTTCCTTGTCACTCGTGGGGAAGATGTTCACCTAACGCCGGAGGTACCCCAGTCCCCCAAAGGCCTCAATACCCCTTTGACTCCAAATTTAAATATCAACAATGCACATCCTCCAATATACTTGACAGCATGTCTAGATTGCTTATGATACCTTTCTGAATGTAAGTACTCTGGAAATAGTTCTTCCACTATGTTGTTTGGGGCATGATGACAAAAAAGGTCTGTACTGTCCAGTACAGATGTGGTTTTCTCCCCAATATATATATATGTATATATATATATATATGTGTATATGTATATATATATATGTGTATATATATATATATATATATATATATTTTGGACCGGATTGAGCTCAGGGCCTTGAGCTTGTGAGGCAGGCACAGCGCCACTGAGCTAAATCCCTGGCCCCTCGTTTTTTTTTTGTTACCAGGAATTGAACCCAGGACCTTGTGCTTGCCAGGAAAGCACTGTGCGGCTGAACTACATTCCCAGTCCTCTCCCCAATATTTTCAGCCCATGGCTGGTTGAATCTGAGGTGGTGGATTCAACCTCAAGGATATAGCAGGCCAAGTGTAAGTTTACTGAGCACATCCTGTGCAGGCAGAGTGCTGTTCCCTCTTCCTTTTCCATGCAACAGGATCTTTTCTGTACCTCCTTTTCCATACAGAGGCACCAGGTGACAGGTCAGACAGGACTCAGGTATGGGCCAAGGGTGTGGATGGTGGCAGACTGGATAGGAAAGGAGTCTTGAGTACATCTTTTTCATGTTCCCAGGGAGGAAGACAGGTACAGGAGCTGCTGTGACTTCTTTTGTGTTTTCCTCCTCTCTGCTGTAGGTGTCCACCCCCCTTCTGGGTGATTTCCAAGAAAAACAAAATAGATCCTGAACCCCAGGCTCTGATCAACAGTAAACAGCTGAAAAAGCACCATCGCCATGGAAGAGGGTCTTGAGATCCAGACCTCCTTGCTGTCCACTCGGGATCCCATGCTCCAGGATGCTAACACTGACTGTGAGGTCTCCCGAATGCACTTCAGACAGTTCCAGTACAGTGAGGCAGCAGGCCCTTGGGAAAACTTCCACAGACTCTGGGAGCTTTGCTGTCAGTGGTTGAAACCAAAAGTACGTTCCATAGAACAAGTCCTGGAGCTGCTCGTGCTGGAGCAATTCCTCACTATTCTGCCCACAGAGATAGAGTCGCGCGTGAGTGCATACGGCCCAGAGAGTAGAGAAAAATTGTTTGCACTGATAGAGCACTTACAAAGAGAACGTGAGACAACAGGACATCAGGTGAGGAAAGGGCCTGGGATCTGTGTTATTAGGCCAAGAGGGGAACCCAGGAAGCTGGGTGGAGACCAGACATTTGCGCACTGTGTCATTGTGGAGCCCAAGGGCTTCTTCAAAGTCCTTTGCAGTTTGCTCTTCTACTGCAATCAGAATCTGAGTCAGTGATTCTCATACCTGTCATGTTTTATACCATGCTTTGTCATATGCATTGTAATGTGAACTTTACTATCTGTATATTAAATATACAAATGACATAGGCTAAACATACATCAACCAAAATCATCAGTAATTTGCTCTCCAGCCTGTGGGCCATATATGGTGTTGGCCCTTTTTGTGTGCTCAGGTAGACGATAATGATTTTTATTTTGTCAAATTAATTTTGATAGAGGAACAGGGAGAATAAATGGCAGAGTCAATATGGCCCCCAGTCCTGAAAACATTAGCTGTTGGCTCTTTACAGAATCACCCTTTCAAACCTGAGTCAAGCAGAGTCTAGAACAGGTATGAAAGGAAAGGAACATAGTTCATTATATGCTAGGGGACATGTCTGCATAAGCATGTCTGGATTTGATTTCACCAGAAGCCCTCGGAATGATCCGAAGCCTGCAACTCTGCTTAGAATCACTATGATGGGGTCGTCATCAGAAAAAGGCTCAAGTACTGTGAACCTTATCGCTGCTTGTGATGAGTCTTCCCAAAGTGGCCAGGAAATCCTGGAAAATCAGAACCACCTATAGTGTAGTCTTCCTGGGATTTGCACAGTAATGCATTCCTAGGAAACTGAAGTCATGCTCAAGTATGCAAAAATCATTTGCTTGTCTCTGAGCAGCAGGATATGGTCCTTGGCAGATGCTTCTTATCTACAAGAATGTTGAAGGGAACTCCAGAGGTGGTAGAAACCAAGGACAGGTCTGTACTACAAGTGATGCTCCTCCCATGTCTGGCCCGCTAGGTTCCATCAGCACCAGAAGGCAGCATTGCCCCTTGTTTCAAACAAGCACCAGACAAAGCCTCCTCGAGAAGGGCAAGCTGAGCAGAGGGCAGTGTCTGCAAGGAGGGAGCAGGTTGCTTCCATTTGGAGAGTTGGAACCCTGGGCGTGGTAGGGGATGGATTTGGCAGGAGCCGGTGAGTTCCAGGCAAGTCACCAGTCTTCCCCACAGAAGTCTGAACAGCAGCCTTGCAATCATTCCTCCCTCCCTAGAGGAGCTTGGCCTAGTGGGTTCCCTTCTTTTCTCTCTCTTCTTGTTTTGGTTACTGTGTTAGCTACTTTTCTCTCGTTGCTGAGACAAAATACCCAACGCTCAAAGTTAGAGGGGAACGGGGTTTATTTGGCTTATAGTTCATAGAGGTTTCAGTCCGTAGTCGGCCAGCTCAAAGACAGGGATGGCAAACAGACATCACAGAGGAGACACAACATGGTGCACACAAGGTAGCAAAGGCAACAAGGGAGTTCAACAGCATCTTTCTGCCCCTTTTATCTTATTCAGACTTCCGGATTAGGGCGGTGCCAAACTAATCACTCACAGGTAGTGGTTTAGTAATCACATGCCCTTAACCCCAGCATCACATTCCAGATTCAACTACCTCTGAAAAGAAACTCCCATCTCATCTGCATGAGGCTTTGAGGGGACATCTAAACACAACCCCTAACCATTACCTTCATATGATTATATCATCTAGTGGGCTAGGTATGCCCTGTGCAGTACAGGAGCCACTAGCCATGGCTGGAACTTGAGCACTTGAAATGTGGCCAGTGCTAATTCAGACCTGTGTTGAATGAAAAGCCTATGCCACGTGAAGAAGACGTAGTATTAAGGGGAACCTTAGGTGAATGATCTCAGTAGTAATTGTATTGATGACATGTTGAAATCCTGGTGGTTGGGCTATGTTGAATTCAATCTGACATGCTACTTGGGTTGACCTGTCGTGTTTCTTGTCATGCACTGTTTCATGTGGCCACTGAAACATTTAAAACTATATGCATGGCTCTCTTCGCACTGCTTGTGTACACTGTGCTACTTCTGAGTGAGAAAAAGCTAACTGTATGTCCAGTGGGTCTGGAGAGGTACTGATGTGTTCTGGTGTTTTCCCCAGTTTGACATGCGTGACGTACTCTTCGATGAACTGGCGCCCTTTAGAATGGTACCGCCGCTACCAGAAATGCGCCTGGAGCCACCTGCACTGCCGTTAATGGGACCAGTCCAGGAGGCCCTGGTGCCAGGAGCCTGGAGTCCACAGGCAGGCCCCCTGGGGCTGAACTATGGAGCTGCTGGTGAATGCCTCCACCTTCTGGACCCCGGTAAGGAGAGCATCATCTCCCTGTTCTTTGGTTTCTTTGTGAGAGCTCAAGATCTTTTAAGATCTCAAGGTTTAATATTTGTTTTGAGACTCAGACTCCACCGTGCAAGTGGGGCATTGATGTAAAGAGGCGAAGAAGGAGGAGGAAATTTCTCTCTGGGAGCAGCTTGGTGGGAATGGCGTTTGGAAATGGTAAAAGTAATGACTCTGTTTTGAGGCCTTTGACTAAAAATGTTACGGCCGGGGATTTAGCTCAGTGGCACCATGCCTGCCTTGCAAGCACAAGGTCCTGAGTTCGATTCCCAGTACAAAAAAAAAAGAGAAGAAAAGAATAGCATCTAAAAATGTTATGTGGGAATAGAGTGGGAGTTTGGATACTGTGGATGAGGCCTCATTTTGTCCAGCAAATTTTGATCCACATGGTTGTTTCTCCACATGGTCACAATAGCTTTTATGGCATAAGAGTTTCATTCAAACTTAATACTTTAGTAACACGCTCCCTTCAGATTCCTTAAGAGGTTTCAGTCCCTTGCACAGCATAGGGACATATCTATTTCATGACATCTCTACTGGAACAGTGTTTCTGAACGTTTAGCACACATACCCTCCATGTCAGCATCACCTGTGTGGTGTTCAGCAAGCTCCCCAGGTGACTGTTGCCCACTCTGAAGTTTGAGAAGCATGGCCTGAGACAGGACACGGGGAGTTGTAGCAGAAAGTAGTCCAGGTGCAGAAAGGCACTCATGAAAGTGGGTTTCCAGAACTGCTTCATAAAGTGGCAAGAATAATCAGATAAGTGGATTAGAACTAAGGAGGAGTATTTTGATGAAGATTAATGGCATTGTGTCATATATATATATAGATATATATATATGTATATAGATATATATACATAGATATATATCCAAAAATGTATACACATTTCAGGAAAAGAAAAACTTGTATAAATATTTTATTACTAAATTTATTACAACATCATAAGATTAATACAAGTTTCCCTTGGCCTCCTCACTTACAAAAGCTGCTCTCAAAGTGGTTGCTATTAGCTTCCAGATATTTTGTACTAAGACCATCTTTTAATAAGAAAACCCTATTGTTTTACACCTTTTTTGATAATCAATGTAAACATATTACAATAACATTTAGCAGTGTTCATTGGGGTGTGTATCCCATAAGGCTATTAATATTACTGAGGATCCCATTAGTGAACAAATACCAAAATAATTGTTTTCTTGGAAGCTGCTCCTTTATTCACCAAAGGCAGTCTTGTCCAGCAGTTTTTTCAAGCCTAAAGGATCCCTGTCTAGTTGTCTTAACAAATTTTTTCAGATGAGTTATGTGAACCGAGTCATAACACATTATCATTATTATTTTGCAACACCTACAGCTATTTGCTTGAAACATTGACTTTTTTGAGACAGGGTCTCACTGTGTAGTTCAGGCTGGCCTTGGACTCACTGTGTAGCCCCGGCTGGCCTCAAACTCATGGCAATCCTCCTGCCTCAGCCTCCTGAGTGCTGGGATTACAGGCATGTGCCACCACACCCTGCATTATTAACACATTATTTTTGACCAGTGAAATACTCCCAAGTTATTGTACACAGACAGCAATAGGCATGGTATTTGTAAAACCAGCCTTGACATCATCTTGATTAGCTGGCAACCTGGGTGGAAGTATGTTCTTAATTTTAATTTTAATGACACTTATTTTACCTATAAGCCAAGTTAAGTTGTAGACATATTTTAACCTATATAAACAGATTTTTATGGAAATTTTTAAAAAGCAAAAAGAAATTGTTGAGCTCAAGCAAAACAGGGCTGAGTGTGGTGGCACAATGCCTGTAATCCCAGCACTCAGGAGGCTGAGGCAGGAGGATCACCACAAGTTCAAGGCTAGCCTGGTCTACATAGTGAGACCCTGTCTCAAAAAAAAAAAAAAAATCAGTGTCTCAAGCAAATAGCTGTAAGTGTTGCAACTTATAATTGGCACAAATTGAACAGATGGACAACCACACATAAAACAGTTGTTTATAAACCAGAGTGCACTCAAATGTATTTGACCATGGCCTTTTATGAATCAAGCACAACTATTATTTGAGTTTATTACATAACCCATATCCAGAGCAGTTATCGCTCCTCCTCTTTTTTCCTGTGTCTGTGTTATTTTAAAGAAGAAAGGCTATCTCTCTTAGGCTTTTTTAGGGGGTACTCTGGCTAAGCTCTAGTACAGTAAAAGGTAACAGCCCCCTTTTTCAAAACTCTGGAAATCTAACTCTCTCCATTGCTTAAGAAGATATTCCAGGAGCGATCTAATGGTTCAGCCCCCATCTACAAGAAAGACTGAGTATGGGGTCTCTCCTGCACATTTGCAGTGTCCTCATAGTGCAAAAGTCTCCCCTAATTTTAAAGCTGAGATAGGACGTCTTCCACCTCACTGGGAAGTCCAAGTACAGCCTTAACTCCCTCACTAGCCCCTTACCATTGTCAAGATTTATATGCCTTACCTGTGTATGGATATAGAACAGCATCCCTGATGAGTCTTTCTCTTTGGGGAATTGGACCAGGGCCTTTGTAACCCCTCTTATATCCCCAGTAGCAAAGATTGTGCCACATCTCTAATGCAGAGAGCTCCCAGAAGGGTCTTTTCTTTAAGGGGGCTAAGATGGCTGTTAGAGCCAGATTTCAAAGTGAATGGAGGTTTTTCTTTGACTTGTATAATTTGAGAAAACATGGCCTGTCACGCCCCTTGAAACACAGCCTGGATTTTTGACCCTATTTTTTAAAATTTTGTCCTGAGACCCTGAATCATGAAGCTCTAAAATGTAGAGCAAAAACAGGGGCTCCTGACACATTGTTCTCCATATAAATTTAAAGCATTTTTGAGTTTTTAAACTATTTTTTTAGGGATGGTGGGTTGATGACAGAACAAATATTGAAGGTGAGAGGGAGGAGATAGGAGGGATCTAACCAGGGCCTTGTTTCAATGGCCCGGTTATCCCTGAGTGAGGAGTGGCAAAAAGGCCAAGTTATATCAGAGAATCCTAGCCTGCGGAGGAGAACTGTTACCTCTCGGGATAGATAGAGTGGTAATAGTCCAGAAGAAATCTCAGCTCTGGGCCCTAAGACAAAGAGGTCTCCAGGACATTTTGAGTTCTCTATCTAGTCACTTGGACAGTTTTATAGCATTGTTAGCTATGCTTTACTTAAACCCACTCTGAAAATGTTTATGTCCTGGTATCTTTAATACACTTAAGAAACTCACAGATTAAAGTCTACCCATTGTCTAGCAATCACAAATTATGTTAGTAAAGGCACGTTTATTAGTTTTCTTTCTAACATGCACATGAAAGAAGAGAAAGGCTGAGTAGAACATTTTTTACCCTTAGTTAGCATATGTAAGGTACAACTATAAATCGCTCCTCTGATAGCTATCTTCCTGTGTTAAAGACAGTTTTTCCAAGCTGCCTCAGTCTGACCTCCCAGAGAGAGAGAGAGAGAGAGCTGGTGCTGTTATTTTGGTTTTTGTTTAGAGAAGGCGGTCTAGTGACCCAAGGAGTTCCAAACCTAACTCTCAGTGAGTTGGAATTAAAAAAAACAAAACTTGGGGGTTTTCCCTTGACTTAGACATTTGCGTTAAAACTTTCTCAGGAGATCTAGAGAGTTACTGTTCTTACCTGTACTTGGCCCCATAAATGCATCAAGACATACCTGAAGAGGGGAATCTATCTTACTAGCAGAGAGAGAAAGGTCCAAACCTGTAGCTCAACTCTTCATGGAGGTTTAAAAGAAGGTACTAACAGTGTCATCTCAGCTCGCTCTGGAACAGAGGATACCAGGAGATCACTGAAGAGTTACCTCTCACTTCACTGAGGAGTGCAGGTAGGGATGATAGATAAGTGGAAATTGTTTTGCTGGTTATCCAGTTAGGCTGTCAGAACTCAGCTTTTACTGAGGAATCTTTGGGTGTCCACTGGGGAGTCGCCCCAGCCATGACCCTTTAGTTGTTCTGTCAGCTTTCAACAGTTCCATGCAACCAGAGATCTGTCTCCAGAAAGGAATTCAGCTGCCTGTCTGGCCAACATTCCCACTGGGCCTAACCAGAAAGTGCCAGCGAAACCTGTCCTCTGCTTTAAGAGTGGCAGCTGCTCTAAGAGCACTTAACCAGCTGGCAGAGTAACCACTGATTTTTTAGAGCTCTATAAGTGACAGATAAAGACTAAGCTGCTTAAAAATCTATCAAAAAATCATTATAAATATTTTATAAATGTATAGTTAAAGTTTGAAAGTCCACACTGGGGCAGTCCCAAACCAGTGGAACCACCAACTCGAAGACAGTGGGGCAAAAAAAAAGTACTTTTTTGAAAGCTAGGGTTCCTATAACCTACCCCATAGAGGGCCAGCCTAAAGGGTTGGTCCCAGTTAATTTGTGACTAAGAACCCCATGGCTGGTCACTTATGGTATGTAGATGTCTTATTTGACCCTGAAGATGTCGCATCTGACGAGCGAGCAGCTCTCCTCTGTTGTCTGAGGACCCCACCAGGATGATAAAACTCAGTCCAATAAAGACTTAGAGAAACAAGGCCGGGGATTTAGCTCAGTGGTTCCAGCACCTGCCTCACAAGCGCAAGGTCCTGAGTTCAATCCCCAGTACCAAAAAAAAAAAAAAAAGAATTAGAGAAACAAAGATTTACCTTTCCAGTCAGGGTACCAAGGGATGTTATATCCCACCAGAGTAGATTTTATCTGGGGTTTGTTAAAAAAAAAAAAAAAAACCTACATCAATAAAAGAATTAGAGATATAATTTCAGAAGGAGAAATAAAATCACTTTATTGAAAAGGGTAGGGAAATGGGGAAACAAAATCACTTAATTGGAAAAAGGGAGAGAAATAAGGAGATAGATAACTGCCTCGTTGGAGTAAGGTAAGGAGTCTGGAGCTGGAACTCTGGTATCTTTGTTCAAAGCCTTTTTTATTACATGGCAAGAAAGGGACTATTCCCTTTGAGAGCTATTATAACTTAATTGGGTATTTTGGGCTCTGAAACCTCACTGAAGTCCTTTAATTTTTCCTACCTGTCCCTCTACTTTCCCTACAATTGCATTATTTTCCTGATTCTCTTTTTTTCCTTTCTACTTAAATGCTCACCTTACTGGTGTAGTCATTCTATTGGACTTTTTGGCATTGTTAGCTTCATTATCTCTTTCTAAAATGTCCTGAAGAATTTTTGGAATGCTGGTTTGGTGATCAAGAATTTCTTTAGGTGCTCTTTATTTTTGAAATATCTTATATCTCCATCAATTTTAAAAGACAGTTTTGCAGGATATGTCATTGTCAATAATGTGGACCATTCACGGAGAACTGGGTGCTAGACCAATTTCACTGCATCCTCCACTTCCATATTAATGGAGGTGGTTGGATCTTGGAACAGAGGCAAAAGACTGTAGTTAGCCACATCCATAGTGCATCACTACAAAGCACACACTAACTAAAGAGATCTCCACACTAGCAGCAAATGCTTTCCACTCACTGTAAGTATCCGCAAACCTCAGCAGAAAACAAACAATAGCGGATACATGAGAAGACAAGGCAACAAAATGCCTCCCCATACTCCAAACCTCCCCACCAAAGCCAATCCATTGGGCCTCAAGGGAGAAGAAAGCAAGAGCCACACAGCAGAATTATTTGAAAGGATAACAGAGATTAAAAACAGAAGAGTAAGGTGCTCAGCGAGCTAAAATAAGATATAAATAAACAGATAGTGGACACCAGAGAGTGAACCCAACCAAGCTTGGCTTAGACGATATTATTAATGCTGATTGATTTGCTATTGCCTTGGTGGCATAGTCATTGCTATAATAGGTTTTCTCTGTATGCTACTAGTGAGATTAATCTTTGACATACCATAAAAACCAATAATGTATCACCCTTGATCACAGAAAAGAGATCTATAATTGTAGTATAAACACTAAAACAAACCACACAGTGACACATAGTAAATATTTATTAAGTGTGACAACTATATCTCCACTAACAATAAAAAAGAATTTAACAGTAATATCGTAGAGTTTCACTGGAAATCTTGAAGGAAAGTTTTTTTTAGTTTTTCTGAGTCTCAGTCTTAACTAATCAAATTCTTCTGAAATGGTATCCTATTAAGCACTCTCTGGCTCCATAGTGGGCACCACGGTGGAGTCCCTCTCAGGTTGTTAACAGCTGTGTGGAAGGAGTCACCCTCTGCTGGCTCAGGCCAGTGCTTTTTTTCTGAAGCTCACAGCCCTGGGGACTTCCTTTGTGGCTGTGGAGGCAGGTTCCACTTCCCAGGATCCCGGATAAGCTTCCAGACCACTTCGTTCTATTCTCTGCTTTGGGGCCCTTTTCTCCGACCTCTCCATAGCTTCTAATTTTTCTATCAGTTTCTTCCCAGTTCTCAGGGATCTACTTTTATTTTTCATTGTGCTCTTCACCAAGTTGTTGTTTGCTACGTGTATGGATTCTAGGCTTCAGACAGGCCGAATTTTGCTGCTGATCACTACTCTGCCATTTTCTTTCCCAATGCTTGTGTTTCAAATTTCAATTGATGGCATCAATGTGAAGTTGTGCATTAATGGCTACAGATCATACCTTTTTGGTGATGGAGGACATGGGGAAGGGAAATATAAAGCAAGCACAGAACAAGAAGAATGCTACCTGCAAAGCCTCAGAAGATCTTGATAGTTGCAATTGCTTGAGAGTGTCTGGGTATCCCAACTAATGCACCATTATCTCACTTGCACCTGACCGTCCATGCAGTGCTGTCTTACTCAATGGAACTATTAGAATCCAGAGTCTTTGGTAATGGAGTTAATGAAACAAATTCACGGAGTATGGGATGTCTTGCTGGCTGTGTTGAGAGGGTATTCTGGACCTCCAGGTTTCTGCAAATCCAAGACTGGACTGCTCTGTGCTCTGTCTCAGGTCAGTGTGTGTTCCTATTCTAATCATGGCCATTTCTGGTTGATCTCTGACCTCCAGGCTTATTTGAGCTGTTCCTCATTTACTCTTGATATTACCCTGAGTTTTGAAATCCAAGTATAAAGAAATCTGTGAATTACAATGGCACGTCATTTGAAATGTGTTTCATTTTTCTGAATCTGAAACACGTGATCTTTCCCTCATGAAACTACAAAATAAGTTATGTTACCATGTCTGAAATTTAAATTTCCCTTTGGAATCATGTTAGCCAAACCAACTTGTTTGTGCCATCTTAATAATGCTAATGAGAAACCCATTTCCAGCCCACATTCTATTGCAGAACAGGACATTTGGCTGGCATCAAGGAAACAGAGAAAAGGACATGGATAAGAGGATGCTAGTCTTGGAGGCGGGTATTCAGACACTGGGGGAGAGCCAGTGGAAGACATTTTACATAGTTGTTGTTAGACTGAGATACTGAAGCAGAATTTGGTATTTGTTTGGGTTATTTTTCAGAGGACCTCCTGCTAGACATCAACTGAAACAGACACACACTGATAGTTTGAACTGGTTACCAATCCACTTCAGCAGTCCTTTTAATTTGAGTAGCTCTCATGGACATTATTCTAGTAAGCAGTTTCCCAGCACTCAAGCTTTACCTCTTCCTCTGTCTCTCTGTCCTTTGGCAATGAATAAAAGAGTGGTGCTCAGTTTACTTATGCCAATATTTTAGGAAGATTTGCTTTGTATTTTAACTCAACTAAATAATTCTATTCTCAAAACACACATGAAACTCTTTTCAGTTCATTGACTTTAACCTGGATTTGAATTCCCTCTCCCCAGCTTAGAAGAGAATAGCCTTGGAGTGAACACAGTGCACTCTTCCCTTCACTTTCCTTTGGTTCTTGATCAAAAAACCCCCAAAAAACCCAAGAACAAACACCATTTGTTAGGGGCTCCAAGGGAAGAAAACCTGACTGGGGAGGAAGTATACAGAGAGAGGGCGCATGTCCAAGAAAGCAGCCTGAACTCTGGCAAACCGTTCTGTGCTCACCTCAGCTCTCTTCCTCCCATCTTCCCTGTGGCCAGGACATGCAGTACCACAGCCTGACTGGAGCTATTCTCTGGAGCCTGGACTGGAGCTGTACACAGAGGAACTGCAGGATTCTGAGAGCTTGGAACAATCCTCTGACTCCAAGAGAGGTAGGTGACAGTTTGCTGAGTGCCCAGGAAGAAAGCAGAGAAAAACGCAGCCCACTTCAAGGAAAGGGGTATGGGAAGCTACTGGGGTGTCCCCACATCTCCCTGGGCTTGGGGTACCGCTGTTCTTATTCCCCATGCCTCTGTTTTCCCTGACACACCATGCAAACTATAATTGCTATTTCTTCTCTTGGGTTTGGAGGAAAAAGGAGGCAAATATGTCAGAGCAGAAAAACTGGAGAGACTGAGTCCAATTTTTTCTTCTTTAGACAGGAATGCCCTTTGCGGTCATAACTTACTGAACAACTGTGAACATCTGGAAGTTCCCCAGGAAACATCCTCAGAAGAGCTGCTGAGCATTGGCATCGAGAAGCCCTGTCTAGGACAGGCATCCCAAAGTGCAGACCAGAAGTTGCCTCTGAAACCTAGGGCCAACAAGCAAAAGCCCAACACAACCAATCCTTATTGTTACCCTCCGTGTGCACAACAGTTTGCCTATAACAGGCCACTTCCTTGTTACCCAAAAATTCAAACAGGAGAGCCAGCTTACAAATGCCACAAATGTGGGAGACAGTTCCTTCACCAGTCAGACCTTGATAAACACCAGCATACTCACACAAAGGAGAAACCCTTTCAGTGCACCCAGTGCAGCATGCAATTCACTCAGCTGGCACACCTTACACAGCATGAGAGCAAACATCTTCAAAAACAGTCCTATCAATGCCCTGTGTGTAGGCAGAACTTTGCTCTTTGGTCCAGCCTGACAGAGCACAGGAAAACTCACAATGAGGGAAAGAGTCATGAGTGCCAGACCTGTGGAAAATGCTTTAATCGGCGGGCAACTCTCCTTCAGCACCAGAGAATACACACTGCAGAGAGACAATTTATCTGTGACTATGGTCCAAAAAGCTATAGGTACAGATCGAGCCTGATAATACATAGAAGAACCCACACAGGGGAGAAGCCGTACAAGTGTAGCCTCTGTTCCAAAGGCTTCATAAAGAAAGCAGACCTTACTACCCACCAAGCTGCCCACTTTCGAGAAGAATTCCCTAATAATACATCCGCAGAAATGGGCCCTGCAGGAAGTAGCAACCCATAAGAGCCTGCTCCTGCAGGCTGCACTGTCCTGCAAGGGCAATGTCATTTGCACTCATTTCTGACAAGAGCTTTGCATTTGGCTACATTTAAAACCCACCTGCCCAGGCATATAAACTCGAGAGTATTCACCTGCTGGTTCCACTATCCTGGATTTGATTTTCTTGGCTGGCCTTGGCAGAACTAGTTTAAGCATTGCAATGAAAATTCTTTTTTGTCACAAGCCAGGCAGCCAAACTATAGGCATAAGTGTGACCCATATAAATGGAGGCATTTTCCCCACCGTACATAGACATCCCCAGTGGCTCTGTAGCTATGCATTATTTTCACTGATAAAGTTCTGACCTGTGAAGGAAATGCACCCACTCTCCTTGCTTCCGTCTCATCAGCTCCTTCTCTGAGCAACATAGAAATGCCTCCTGAACATTGGTGACAAGAAAGTTGCTTGACCCCTGCCCCAGCCCACAACAGCACCACCCGCTTCAGTGTGGCTATGGCGCTCTACTTGGGCATCATTTCAGCCTTTACCAGTGTCCACTTTTGACATGCAGACAATTTCAAAGACATATGGCCATCTCAGGTACTGTGAAGAGCAGCAAAAGGGACCCATCACATACATACTGTGCCGCTTAAATGAAATACATTAGCACGTGGGTCGTGCTCCACAGTAAGCTTCCAGTATATAGTCATGCACTGTAACTTGTTTTCTTTGCTAATAGAAGTGAAAGCATTTATGGCAGTGAGTTTTACTTTATGTCTAGTTTTCGTTACCCTCTATCAATTTGAGGTAATTTTCTTTTTGATGACCTTGTTGTCACTCATGGTTTGGTTTATTATCACCACTGGCATTTTAGCTCGTGTTGGCTCCCAGAGCTGGACCATGCTGATATTGTCCTCTCCATTTTTGCTTGTATTGCATTTGGATTAATAAATAAAATTCATTCTATTTCTGCTATGTATCCATTTAGTTTTTCTTGAAGGTTTATTTTCTGTGACCCATGGAAAATAAGCATTCAATGTATGGGGCATGCGTAGAGGGACTGTCAGCTGATTCCAAGTCATTAGCAGTGACCCTGGTGCTAACGCTGGGCTAGTGGCATGGAATGCATTGCCTTGCTCCACGTGCTGAATGCCTGCATTTTTCTCTGGTACTGGTGGTTGAATCCATGGCCTTCACACTGAACTGCATCTCCAGCCCTTTTTGTTTTTTAATTTCAGACAAGGCCTCTCCAGGTTGGTAAGTTGCCCAGGCTGGGCTCAAACTTTGGATCCTTGTGCCTTGGCCTCAACATTTTTTGTATTGTGCCTTTGTACAAGTGTGTGAATCAATTTTCTGAATGCTGAAGAGCAATTTTGGACAAGTGACTGGCCTGTGAGCTTGGCATTTAAAACCCATAGCTAAATGTTGAACCTAGGGGAGGCATTGCTTGTCCTACTAGTCTGAGATTGCTCCCTCTCAGATCCCCTGGTTGCCACTCCTGAGCCCAGAGAGAACCCCTAGAAGTCCCTTTAATGTTTTTTCGGGCCTCATCCTCCTGAGTCACCAGGGCCTGTTCTATAGTGCTTTAGGGAAATAGGGAAAGTACATGGGACTCTGTCCCCAAGAGGCTCACCACCGGTGGAAGAAGAGATTTATTGCACTTTGCTAGCTTGCTCCTGAGGTCTCCACAGCATACTTAAGGGGACCCAATTGGGTACCTGCAGGTCACCGCATGAGCCTTATTCCCACAAGCCCCTCAGTTCTAACCTCCTGATGTTGGGTGAATATTCTCATACATGACCAGGGCTCATGCTTAAGCCCAGGCCCAGCTCAAGCTTCTTTTCTAGTCCACTGTAGCACATGTTGCAATGGGATGGCGGGGGGGAGCTCTTTCCCTAACCTCTCTTTAGTATTTACACATTTAGTATTTAGTATTTAGTATTTAGTCAGCCCCCATTTCTTGGATGTTAACAACTTAGATTGGGAGCTGAGGGATTTCTTCATCCTCGTTGTTTCCCATTGAACTTTTGAGACAGGCCTTCTCAGAGTAGCATGGGCTAGGTCCCCCTTAGTAAAGATCTTGAATATAAAAATATTACAAACATATCGGTAGATTTTCAATATCTGCCCTCAGTTGACATCTTTAGTGCTGAACACAAGAATGAGAATATATGAAATACTGGACATAACTAAGATGTGAGGTCCTAGATACAAGTGAAATAGCGTCCAAATCAAAACTGCTCCATAATAATAAGCAGGCTGTAGTTTAAAACATGGAATTAGCCATTAAAAAAATTTAGTGATTTTTATATCTTTATGGCTAGTTTATTTTTCATTTATCGCTAAATGAATGTTAATCTTAAGAATATCCACCTATATTTAATGTTATAGTCCTAATGCACTAAAAAAGGGCTGCCCTGAGAATGAGTCTCATTGACATTGCCTGACTAGTTTCCCTTCGTAAGAAGAGAATGTCACTGGCCGGCGGGAAAGAAGAGGTGGCCACCTTCTCCATCTGTGGTGAGAGAGGAGCACCTCCACTTTCACATCTATTGAGACTCTTGTGTCCACTCTGAGACCTCCAAAACAGTACTCTCAGGTGGACCCCCCACCTGCAAAAGAATGCCCTAGTGCATCACAGTGTGAAGGAAGAGTAAAGGTTGTTTGTGATTCTTCATGATTTCCACTTTCCCACTGAATGATGGTTTACTTACCATTGAGAAATCTTCCATCCTTTACCAAATGGCCTTGTCATACCTATGTGCTTTGATTTCTTTATTTGCTGAAAATGCTTTCCTCTCAACCTGTGGCTCACAGAAAAATGCTCACATAAAGATCTTGTAGCCCTAATCCCAGAACCTGGTACTATAGCACATTGTTTTGCAAAGACTTTACATGCATGATTACCTTAAAAATTATCAGATGGGGCATTATACTGCATTATCCGGGACAACACGATGTAAGCACAAGAGACATACAAGAAGACAAGACGATCGGTGTCAGGAGTAGACCCCAGACTGATGACTGGAAGGGCCATGTGCAAAGCAATGTGGGTGTTCTCTGGAAGTAGTAAAGGTCAGGAAAATCATTTCTGCCTTAAGGCTTTCAGAAGAAACTAGGTCCAGCCAGCACCTCGATTCTAGACTTCTATCTTCTAGAGCTGTATTGAAATAAATTTGCAATGTTTTCGGTCTCTAAATGTGTGGTTATTTGTTATGGCAGCAATAGGAGACTCATATATCTACCACCAAGAGATGGACCTGTGTCTCCTCACTTGGAATCTTGGGCGTGTTTCAGCCAGCTGCTAATCCAGTACTGTAGACGTGATCCTGTGTAAATTCTAAAGTGAGGTCCCAGAAGATCATGCAACTTCCATTTCATTCACTTAGGGGTGCCAGGGGTAGATTTTTGTGCCCCCTTTAGACTACATCAACATTAATTTTGTACCTACTCTGCATGTCTGTGTATGTGTATATTGCAGAGGTAGCTCTGTGCTGTGTTTGCTTCCTTATTAGCTCAAGGATCCTTATTTGACTTCTGAAATTAAACCTATCCTTATGTGAATACCTCATATATTTTTCTGTGGGCACAATCTGTCTTTTAGAAGTCACTTTCTGAAAACAAACAAACAAACAAAAAAAGAAGTCACTTTCTGAATCCTCTGCAACACAGTAAAACCAACATCTCCACAAAGATTTTAACAAATTTTAGCTGTGTAAGTTCTGAAGAAAATAAATCAAAGGCCCCCTATACCATTTAACTGGCTACATTTTCTGTGATGCTGTATATTTTACACCGAGAATATATCCACATGCTATCTTCCTTGCGATATAAAGCATTTTTATGCTTATTGAAGAATAGCAAAATTATGGAGAATATACTCTCCTTTCTTTGCTTCTAAATGCTAGAGGCAGCTGTACTATTTCTTGTGAATCCTTCCAAATATTTTACAATACAAATTTTCCCCAGAATTTTGAAAATTGTGTTACTATACATCTTGTACTGTGAACTTATTTTCTTCATTTAATAACACACATGGGCTTCATCACATGTTAGCACACAGAAATCCATTGTTTTCAATGAATGTAAAATGTAGGGTAGTCCATGAACTGGACTCACTGGAGTTCATTCAGCCATTCCCCAGTTGATAAACATTTAAGTTACCCCTTTTCATGCTGGGCATGGTGATGCGTGCCTGTAATCCTACACTTGGGAGGCTGAAGCAGGAGGATCTCTGCGAGGTCAAGGCCAGCCTGGGTACATGGTGAATTCAAGTTCAGCCTGAACTGCACAGCAAGATCTTATGTCAAAAAAAAAAATCATTATGTCCCTTTCCCCAATTATACTCCTATTGTCTCCAGTGTGTTATTTATTATGTACCCATCCAAATATTTAATATTAAACATTTGACAGTTTACACAGAAGTAGGATCATAATATATTCATCTAACTGCAAATTTCCTTTTCTCCTTGCAAATATATATATATATATATATATATATATTTTTTTTTTTTTTTAATCTTTGCCCATTGGCACACAAAAATCTGCCACACTGTTTCAATGGCTGCAGTGTAATCCGCTGAATGGATTCACCAAAATTTACTTAGGCCTCTACCCAGATACATTTTAGTTGTTCCTTCAGTGTGGCTGGCAGGTGAATGTTCCAGGAGGACAACAGAGATCTGATTGAGAAAATGTCACCTCAGATTGCCAAGAAATATTTCAAAAGAGAAGGCAGACATATTCTAACTTTTAATTGAAGAAAAAAATAATAAATATATAAATAAATTAAATGCAAAAATAAAATGAATACATAACAAGGAATAAATAAAATCTATTAGATCTGATTCTGTGAATAATCCTCATAATACAGGAGATGAATTGAATCTTACTTAAAAACCATTTATACTTTGTTTCAACAAAGTGGTAAAACAGAGTTCCTGTTTAAAAAGGAAAGGAAATAAAGAGAAAAAAAAGCTAGTTGCAAATCATGCAAAAGCACTTGAAATTAAAGTTAGCAAAAATCAGAATAGGCCTGCGTGTACCTTTGTCCAAGTACTCTACTGTATGTGTTTGTGCCCAGCTTATAAATGAAGGCAATATAAAAACAAGGCCTGTGAGGCAGGAGGCTCCAGGCCCCAGGCCAATATGATGACACTGTGTACTCTGTGGGGCTGGTGGCTGACACAGTCTACTCAGCAGGGGACTGTTTCTTTGGTCTTCTTGGGCACAGGTCACAGGTGAAATGTCACCCAAGTCATGAAAAATTCAGGCAAAAGTTGCCAGACTTAGCTTCCACAGAAATCATTTTTTCAAAAATTAAATAAATAAATAAATCATATTTTCATAGTATGACATCTTTATCTTATTTCATTTTGTTAGTATATGCTTGTGATACCTCTAAATCTGTACCTTACAAAAGTGTGTTGTTTTTTTCTGTATCCCTAAAGGATGGGCAGGTTTTAGAAGTTGTGATGAAACAAGTCTCAAAAAGGAAGTTTCACAGCTTTGTCTCTTCCTTGATGAGATGTGAACCAAAGGGGAAAGTGTGTGCTCATGTGTTGAGTGTGAATAGACCACAGCCTTTGGTACTGCTTCCTACTCTGGCCTGCAGTATACGCTCAGCCTCTGGAGGCTATGAAACTGGGTCAGGCCATGTACAAGAACCAGGTCACACTCTCAGGGCAGCTAGGCCTGAAATGAGTTACTTTGTTTTCCTGTTTCCCTGACTTCAGTCACCTTCATTCCAATCCATCTCAGCAGTTCTTCCTTACAATATCTTTCATGGTCTAGTGTCATCTTTTCTTTCTCCCAGCTTAAATAGGTAAATGTAACTGCAGCATCAGGGAAAAAAACATCAGGGAAAAAAATGCCAGCCATCCCCACTGAAGTGTTCCTCTTTAGAAAAG